GGGGGTCCAGGAGCCTTAGGGTAGACGCCTTAAAACCCTAAGCCGAAAGCCTAAAGCCCGATTCCTAGAGTGCCTAAACCTTGAGCCCAGCTTTAGAGCAACCCTCAGAAAGTGAAAACATAGAGCATATATTTGGGGGTTTGTTGCTTTGGGAATGCCACCAAAAAAGTAGACTTTCGTTGACTTGTCGTAAGAAATAGTGACCCAGTAACATTATAAGAACAGCATCCATAGTTCCCGTAACTAGTGTTGACTTGAATAACGTTAAGCCGTTAAGCTACCCATGAAACTTCAAGTGCAGTTCTAAGCTGCCATGGTCAACACCGAAACCCGCCTACAACCCTTGCAACCTTGTAAAGCGCACCCTTAACACCCTTTTAACAAACCAATAACCGTGCCCCCCCCCCCCCCNNAACCCTAAACCCTAAACCGCTAGAAAGCATTACAAGTCCTACAACACCCTACAAGCCCCAAAACCAAAGCGCTTCATCTGCAGACTGAGGCCTACTCAAAAGCAAGCTGGACATCACCGTGGGAAGGACGGGCCCAAGACTCCTAATATAGAGGCCTGGATGAGGCTTAGGGTTTGCGGCTTATGGTTTACCATTCTTATTCCTTGTGGTACCTTGTGAGAGCTATGTCACAAACACACTAACATACCCCAAGCCGTATTCTCATGAGTTTTAACTCTTAACACAGTAGCATTACAGCCCAACGGCCCGAATGACTCCCTGGTTGAAGACGCTTGCTTTACCGGGGTTTCGGGCTTTACGGTTTAGGAATTAGGATCTAGGCAGTTCAGTAAAGGGTTTTGGGGTTAAGGGCTTGAGGGTTTATGCTTTAGGGGTTAGGGGGTTCAGGGTTTTACGGGCTTAGGGTTTGAGGGGGGCTAGGAACTAATGAAGGGGAATGTCCAATTGCTTATAATACTCTGGCTATGAAGGCCCCCGCATTAAACCCCATTAAACCCCAAGTGCGAATTCCTGATCCACCAACACCAGGAAGTATCACCCTAAACCCTAAACCCTAAACCCTAAACCCTAAACCCTAAACCCTAAACCCAAGACGCTCGAATCCTTCAACACAGTTCTAGAACCCCGGAGCAACCATCCTGAGAAAGCCCTTTATGAAGACCCCTGTAAGACAAACCCTTTAAAAGACCCTGGTGCAAACCTCTTCAAGCCCCACCAGAAAGCCACCAAAAGCGCATTAAGCCCCGTGAAACCCCTAGATCATCGAAGAAACTCCTCAAACGCGCAGCTCTGAACCGTCACAGCTCCAGGACGGATTCGAGATGGAGAGGCTCACTCATCGCCGAGGTTCCGACAAGCGAAACCTTAAGGATGAAATGGTTCAGGAGTCAGGGGGTTAACCCGGTTAACCCCAAACCCGAAACTTGTCCGACATCTGAAGCCCCAAATTCCTGTATCCGTCCTAAATGCCCAAACGCCCTTAACCCTAAACAAGAGCGCAGTTGTGCTTTTGAATTTTGCTTTTCCAAACCCCAACCTGGAATCCCAAACCGAAAAATATTAAAAACATGTTCAGCCCCAGGTATTCGTTTGGCTACGTCGGGTTTAGGGTTTAGGGGTTACGGTTTGGAAGGGCTGAGGGATTTACCGTCACCGCCGAGGTCCAAAAGGTCGGTCCGAAGACGAAAAAACACCTGGGGGACGAAGCACCACAGGCCGGAGACCCTAAACCCTAAACCCTAATGATTATTGAGGTTTTAGTTTTTTTTCCTGTTTGTGTAAAGGGTCGTAGGGTTTTACATGGTTGGGTAGAGCTTGTTCAGAGGGTTTACGTGGTTGGATCGGGTCCTGTAGGGCTGTATGGGGTCTCGGGTTTGGGAGTAATCGTAACACCGAGAATCATCGTCATGAGAAAGCAAAAGGCAGTAATATGAGAAAATACTTATAAGCATTATAGCAACAAGAGGTATGAGTTACAATAGTAAGAAAGATGACGATAATGATCGCAATAGGTGGCATAAAACATAGCACAACGACTTGCAGCAATAGTAATATTAATGATGATAACCACAGTACTAGTAATCACAACGACAATGTTGATCGTGACAACAGTAGTACTAATGAAAGATGAAAAGAAGTAGTAAAAGCAGCAGCAGCAGCAGCAGCAGCAGCAGCAGCAGCAGCAGCAGCAGCAGCAGCAGCAGCAGCAGCAGCAGCAGCAGCAGCAGCAGCAGCAGCAGTCGTAGTAGCAGCACCGAGACCCTATGCAGTGAATCCAGCGAGAGTCTTTTGCCCAACAAGGAAATCCGGCCAAATCACAAACTGCGCACCTCAAACCCTAAACCCTCGGATCAAAGACGAAAACCCCAAGGAATGAATCCAGCAGGAACCTTTTGCCCAAAACGAGAACCCCAAGGAGTAAATCCGAGAAGAAACTTTCGCCCAACAGGAAAACCCTGACAAAACCCGGGCAGGGGCACCGTAGCCTCATATTTACACTACGCATGGGACCCTGAGCGTGCCCTGGATGCAAAAGAGGCGTGTGTGCGCCTTGGATGCAAAACCGAATGCGCCGTGGATGACCTGGCTTTGGAGGAGGAGGAGGAGGAACAACAACGATCGATAAAGGTGTTAAGTCCTTGGTTAACCCCTCTGAGACTTTAAGACCTGATAAAGATGCTGTGATTTTGTGAAGCAAAGCCCCAGAACCAACGAGGTCGGTGATCTGGTCGAGAGGCTGTTCTGCAGTGGCTTGAAGAAGCCGGATGGAAGCTCATCAAAGGGGTTTCATTCAATCTTTCAAGTTTTTAACGGGCTGTGTAAAGATTGTAGGGCTTGCTTTCTTAGTTTTTGGTATCGGGTTGCAGGCTAGGGAGCAAGGCTCCATAGGAATATACAAGTTTAGGGGTTTACAGTGGTTAAAGGGGTTTTTTCAGAACTTACGCAGGCCCTGCTGAAAAGTCTGCAGAAAAGTATTGTGGACATAGATAGGGTTCAGAGTCTTGGGTGCAGGGTGTCGGGTTTTTGTATTGGATAGTTGGATTTCCGCAATGTACCCGGACCTTAACCGGGGGCCCTAGATACTTAGAAGAGGATTTCGGGTGCAATTCACTTAAGATGGGGATTGTAACGGGATTTTTGTAAAGTATTCATTATGAAAGTCCATGCATTAAACCTTAAGCCCTAGACCCTGAATCCTAAACCCTACACCCTAACCCGTCTTTTGGCTTCACTGAAGCCTGCAAATCTTCCAAGATCCCTTAGCTCAGGAATATAGTAGGATTTGAAGATCATTTAAGGCATATTCCTTAAAAAGGGTTATTGGAAAGGTCGGGTAACCTCAAACCCTAAACCCTCCAACTGCACTGAAGATCCAAGACAGCAATCCAGGATCGACCTTCACCATGTCATCGAAGGAGGTCTCCTTGGTTCAGCGCTGCTTGAAAGGGGAGATCCGATGTTACGTTTCTGAGCGCACCCCGATAGGTGGCTAGGAGGATCAGTTCTAGACCGTTTTTGTTTTTTTTTGTTTCTGGGTTTCCGACAATGTAGGTGGCTAGGAGCTTCATATTTACAATGGTTTGCATTTTTTTTAATTATGTTTCTGGGTTCCATTATAATATAATTGCCACCCAAAAAGTTTTTTTCCAAAGGGCACCCGAACAGCCGAGGTGGAAAATCTAGCGGGCCGCATTTTCCCTTCCGGCGGACGCGAAGCATGGCCGAGGGCCAGGTCACGCCAAAATCCAAGGTGACATTGACGCTGAAGCGACCGCCGAAGAATTGCAAGGACGCAACGCACGTGGTGGGAAGCCCCAGCAAACGCACTTCATCGAACCTTGGCCGTTCTTTGAACATGTTTGGTTGCTTCGTACGGCATAGCATAGTATGACATAGTATGGCATAGTAAAGCGAAGTATAGCATATCATCGCACAGTATAGCATAGCATAGCACAGCACAGCACAGCATAGTATAGCATAGCATAGTATAGTATGGTATAGTATAGTACAGTATAGTATAGTATAGTATAGTGTAGTAGGCAGGTCACTTACCGAGCGCTTCCGTGGAACAGGGGAGGGGCCAGAGCTCTGAGCACGACATTGAGAGCGAGCGCATGAGACTCCCCGACAAATCTTGCGGTTCCCCACTTCGCTGAATGCCTCGTAGGCTTTGAAACCTTTCAGGTTTTTTAGGAGTAGCACAAAGAGGAGGAGCCGTCTTGCGCTTGCTGTCCTCCTTTCGAAGCAGATCTGCAATAGCTATGGATGCGACCGGTCGCGACTGATACTATAGAGATGGAGCTCGTTGGCCCACGGATGCACACGAGAGTTTGCCGTGAGACGTCAGGCAGCCTCAACAAAAGATCGAGCTTCTCATGATGCTGTCGGGAGTGAGAGCATAAGCCAGGCTTGGGATGAAAGCCGAAAGCCCAATCTCTTCCTTCAGGGTTTAGGGTTCAGGGCTTAAATGGGGTTTAGGGTCCCTATAGTTACCTAAACCCTAAACCCTGAGCCCTATACCGGCAATCGAAGTAGCTATAGGATCTATAATGCTTGAGGACACCGCAATGCTGGCCGGGGACACGGCGTTGCGTGTCTCACATGATGACAGGCAGTGAAACATGAATAGATTCACAGATGGAGCCTGCATCGCGTGCACAGGTTTCCAGAGCTTCGTTTTAGGAGCTTCGGGAATCGAGTTCTTATGGAAATCTCCAAAACAGCGAGAACACCAGGCTTCCGGCTTGGACTCGCTGAAGATAGCTCGGATGTGCCGGGCCGTGAGGCTCTCACAGTGAGACAGTCATAAGCTCAGAGGCCTCGGAGGTTCAGAGTACGTAACTAGAAACTAGGCTCCTGTTATACTACCCTCTGCTCCCTGGAAGCCTTGAACCTCCAACTCTCACAAGGCTCCCCAGGTCTGAGCTCACCGCAAACTGCTGCCCTTCAACCGGAGCTCGAAAAGACACCGACAGATCTCACCGCACAGAGCATTGTAATCTCCCCACAGAGAGGTGTTGTCGGAAGCCCTGCCTCCGCCGTCGCCAGGCTCAGGGCCTTGCCTCGCTAAGGGGCGACTCAATAACTCGGAAGCTGTGAGTTCTGCACGGGGAGCTCAGGGGGTTCAGGTCGCCGGAGCTCGGCTTCCGCTCATCTCCTCTGCTCCCATCCCATTTCCCCCAGGCCTGCAGCTGCCAGAGCTTCAGGGTCGAGTCAAGGCTGCCGCTGCAGAGCACGGGCTCTCCCCGCACCTTCGCCACCGTCAGGGCCTGGATCCCGTCGCTGTGGGCCTTCTCGATCTCGTGCAGCGGCTCCCCGCTCTCAACACGCCAGACTTGGAGTCTGCCATGCCCGCCAGCTGCAAGGTAGTTGGGCGCCAGCAGGCAGAGCGAGTAGACTCGGCCCGTGTGGCCTTCGAGGATCCGCACAGTCGTCCAGCTGGTGAGGTCCCAGAGGCGCACGGTATTGTCGTTGCTGCCGCTCGCCAGGAGCTCCGCGGAGGCCTGGCAGAGGCAGAGGACCCAAAAGGTGTGGCCAGGCAGCACCTGTAGCTCCTCGCCGGTGTCGGAGTTCCAGACTCGGAGGGTCCTGTCATCGCTTCCGCTCACCAGGATGCCGGCACTGGTGAGGCAGAGGCAGCGCACAGCGCTGGTGTGCCCTTGGAGCGCTCGGACGTCTTCCGGCTTTGCGACGTCCCACAAGCGGATGGTCGTGTCATCGCTTGCGCTCGCCAGCTGAGTGTCATTGAGCCGTGCCAGGCCCAGCACCATGCCTGTGTGTCCGCTGAGGACTTGCAGAGTCTCCTTGGTGCCCAGATTCCACGTCCGGACCGTGTTGTCCCCGGACCCGCTGGCGAGGACCTCCTCGGACAACAGGCACAGGCAGTGCACAGCCCTCTCGTGCCCAAGCAGCTTCGAGACGGACTCGTCGTCAGTGGTGCTGAGGTCGTGGAGTCGGATAGTGCCATCTCCGCAGCCCACGGCCACACAGTTCGCTCCCGTGGTGCAGGCGCACAACACCTCCGAGTCGTGCTCGACGCTGCGCAGCTCGTTGGGATCCTTCGAGAAGCCGCGGAGGCCCCAGGCCTGCAAGCAGGAAGGGTGCTCGTGGTCTGGCTTCGCTTTCGGGGCCGGGGGCTTGGGGCTCTTGCAGTATATGTCTGAGCGGGAACCGCCGCTGAATGGGCCTCAATAAGGTCTTTTGGGCTGCTTTGGCCCCCTGCAGCACTTTACGCCTCCGTCGAGGTCCGCTTTCGTTATTAGGGAAATCCCGTCTCAAGGCTTGGATGCGTCGATGGGATGCATGCCTCGACTTCAAGGGTCGAAGCTGGGTTCGAAGAGGCGTATCTGACTCCACCACAGCCCAGCCTTCCCACCAACAAGGGCAAACTCGGCTCTTGTCGCATTGCATCTGTTCAAAAGATACGTTCTGGGTTGCCAGGCAGCGCTAGCTGCTAGCTCCTTCATCCGAGTTGGACTCCTCCCCAGGAACTGCAACACCGCCTACCAAGTCACCTACTGATGAACTTCGTTGAATCATGTTGAAGCTGTTTTCGCACATGGCAAAGCCCAGCTCAACCTGAAAGGGTCTGCCTACTGGTTTGGGCGGCCTCAAAACGGAAACATCAACTCTACCAAATTGAACGGCACGGGACTTCGATGTCAAAATGTTGCCACACACGAAGTGTCTGAAGCTACGTAATAGTTAAGCAATTTGCACACACAGCCTTGGCTTCGGGTGTCTTCATCTGTTCGTCGTAGAGTCGGCAGTGGTTTGCGCTAACTAAAAGACAAGGACGATCGACCGGAAATGTAAGCCCAGCACAAACATACAACAAACAGGATTTTCAAAAAAAGTCAGCATGAGCTTGCTATGAGGATCCAGTGTAACCGGCGACCGGCCAGATCGCAAGTCACTTGCAACATCCCTGCAGGGGACACCGCGACAGCTGTCGCCTGCGAAACCAGCTCTCTGGAAGTCAAACGACGATGTTCGCGAGGTTCTGCGCAAGATGGTGCAACACTGCTTCGCGAAATTGCAAAAAAGTTAAGGCCGGTGTCTCCCCGTTTACAGCATATTATAGTGTGGCAAAGGATAGTATAGTACAGTATAGTGTAGTATAGTAGAGTAGCTTAGAGTAGATACTTTACACTACTCTACCCTAGTCTACTCTACCCTACTCTACTCTACTCTATTATACTCTGCTTTGCTATACTATACTATACTATACTATACTTTACTATACTGTACTGTACTGTACTGTACTGGACTGGACTGGACTGGACTGGACTCCTAATATGTACTATACGATACTATATTGTACTATGCTGTACTATACTATACTATACTGTACTGTATTGTATTGTACTGTACTGTATTATACGATACTCTACAATGATATACTGAACTGTACTGTACTATGCCATACTATACTATAGCAAACTATACTATAGGAGAGCAGAGCAGAGTACAGCAGAGTGCAGTAGAGTACAGCACAGTACGGTACGGTATAGTACAGTACAGTATAGTATAGTATAGTGAAGTATAGTACAGTATAGTACAGTATAGTACAGTATAGCATAGTATAGCATAGCATAGTATAGTATAGTATAGCACAGTACAGTATAGTATAGTACCTTATAGTATAGTATAGTCTCAAGACGGAACAAAAATGAACCCCAAAGCTGAACCTAAGCTTTAGGAACAGCCCAGGAACGTGTTGAAGGTCTTGATCCTGAGGCACCCGTCGGAAACTGGTCTGCTTTTGTGTGTTTTTTTTTTTGCTAGGGTTTTTAGGGCTTGTAGGCTGTAGGGGTTTGGGTTGAGGGTTTGGGGCTCATATCGTTTTCCGGTTTAGGGGGACCAGGGTTAAGTTACCATAATGGGGATCTTCAAAGGGTTTCTTTTGCAGGGATCTAGGGGTGTAGGGTTCAGGGACTTAAGTTACCATAATGGAGATCTATTTTAAATGATACGGTTTCCTTCAGGGCAACCCTAAACCGTAAAGTCTGAACCACAAGTCTAAACCCTAAATCCTAAACCCTAAAACCCTGAACCACAAGTCTAAAGCCTAAACCCCACCTTCCCAAAAGTCTAAGCCCTGAGTTCCCTAAAGTCTAAACTTGAAATTCCACATCGAGTCCAATACCCCTTCAGGCATACGGTTTAGGGTTGAGGGTTTGGGGTTTAGGGTATATACCATAGAGTATAAAGGGACTCATATCTTAAGCCTTTTGGGCCTTACGACCATTTAGATGCTGAGGGTTCAGGCACATACCATAGATTATAAGGGGCTTGCCATTATTAGGTCAATATAGAAGCCTGAAGAAATATTTATATCATTTCTCAGGGCCCCTTACTAACACTGCCATTCTAAAGGAGCCCAAAACCCTTGTCTAATGATTATGGCCCCTACATTATAATCTCATTATGACCCTAAACCCTAAACCCTAAACCCTGAAGGAAAGGGTATAGGGCTCTCTGGGTCCCCGACAAGAACCCAGGAAATGAGGAGGCTGCAGCAAGGCGATTTCTTGAAGTACCACCTGGCTCCTGAGCTAGGGCTTAAGGGTTTCTGTAAGGGCTACTGTAGGGAGTTGGGGTGTAGGGATTTAAGTTTTCGGATGACAGCGTTTCATATTCAGGGCTTATGATGGTTTAGGTTTCAGATTTTAGGGTGTCGGGTTTGGGTTCACAAGAAGCCCGCTGTTCACCTTTTTGTTTTCGGGCACCCTTCTCACAACTCCGCGGCTCCTTGTTCAATGTCTTCAAGGTGTATCTAGCAGTGATGTTCCCGTAGAGCCCCTGCATTCCTATGGTCTTATTGTAGAACATACCGCAAAACCTTACTCTCACTATCTAGGCTTTGGACTCCCTCAACAAACCATCTGGCAGCCTTTTGACGGAACCTGTACACAAGTTTCACTTATACCCTAAACCATCCTCAATATGAAAGCCTTGTGTTACAGCTGTCATCGGACCCTTATAGCTCTGTTTAAGAAAGCTAAACCCTAAACCCTAAACCCTAAACCCTAAACCCTAAACCCTAAACCCTAAACCCTAAACCCTAAACCGTGAGGAAGCCTTTGAGAAGCCAAGCCGGGAGTCCCAACACCTGTGAAGGATATCTTCAAGCCTACCTAAGCCCCCAGACATCGGTAAAATCATGGCCCAACACCTACTAAAGGCTATTCTCCTACATACTTTTGGGGTCCAGGTAAACCCAACCCTAAACCCTAAACCCTAAACCCTCAACCCTAAACCCTCAACCCTAAACCCTAAACCCTAAACCCCCCCCAAAACCCTCTTCCAGGAGCCTTGAACGAGAAGCCAAGCCCGGAACCCCCCAAAACCCGAGGCATCCCTGGCGGAGCCCTTGAAGGATCCCTAGCAGGAACCCCTCAAAAAAGGGGCCAGAACCCCTTAAAGTCTTAAAGGAACACCCTAAGGGAAGCAACCCATGAAGGGACCCCTAAAGAGCCAATGAGGGTCGGGGGACTTCGCAAGTAGGTAATAAGTAGACTTACAGGTACTCCGAAAAGGGGTCCTAATAGGGATCATGACACGTAGAAGTCCACAAAAGAACTACTTCCTACGTCCTCCGACCCTCCAGTAAGGTTCTGGCTTCCACCGCCATCCAAGGCAGCCAGTCCTATGCCAAGATCCTCGGGACGTTGTTAGGTAGTTCTCTAAATTAGGTTGGCTTTTTAGGTCTCAATATAGTACGGCACCCGTTTAAAAGGACCCCTTTTGAAAAGGACCCCCAAAAGGACCCTAGCCTAGACACCTTTTTTAAAAAGGACACCTTCTAAAAAGGAACCCCAAAAGGACCCTATTCTAGAGAACTACCCTGTTGCTAGAAGGATTGTCAGGTTCTCAGGTTTCTAGGCCTACGGCTTTAGGGTTGAGATTTCATGGTTTTAGGGCTTAGGCTTTCGTTCTTATGGTTTTGGGTTTGGGGTTTCATGGTTTTTAGGCTTGTGCTTTCGGTTTTATGGTTTTGGTTTATTCGGGGATTACGCGGGCTGTTCTAAGCATTAACATACAGGTTACTTGGCGGTCTACCATATAAGGGCTTCTACTAGGTAGCTCCTTTACACCCCTTCTTGTTGGGTTGTTGTAGGTTTTGCAGCTTGTTCGGTATTCTTGTTGGGGTTCCAGCTTTGCATTTCGCTTATCACAGCTGAATAACAGGAAACAGAGTCTTGTATTGTTACCTCACTTTCCGTAAACCTCAAACTATTCTTGAACGCTTACTGGGTGGGGAGCCGAGTTTCATCACGTGGGCCTCCCGTCGAGGTGGATGTGGCTCGGCTGCCAATTCTTGATTTAAGGTTGCGTGCTTACAGCTAGGGTTTTGGGTTTGGGCTTAAGGGTTTAGGACTTCCCAATTCCTATGTTTCACTTGGAGGGTTTAGGGTTCTGAGGGTTGGTTTACGGAATTTTGGGACTTTCGGTTCAGGGTTCGGGGTATATGTTACATAGGTACACATGTACATGTGTGCATCGAAACAACACGTACACATACACCGTCATGCACCTATATATATATATATATATATATATACATACATACATACATACATATGCATGCATGGACAGTCGAAGAGGTCAGCAGCGGGTCAGCACCACCCAGCCGTTGCTGAACGGATCAAGAGCTGGACCAAGGAGGACGATGGGCGACACCCACTCACCTTACGAGGTGGCCTGCACCCGGCAGACCACGGCAGAGGCAGAGGCTTCCTGTGGCTGGTGGCAAAGACACAGGAAATACCATGCCGAAGCGGCTGTGCAAGGCGGCATTCTGCGAGCATGTGGAGACAGGCCTGCGCTGCAGCCCAGCGGCGCAGACTTGTCGCTGATCGCGAAGAGCCCATTGCGGCAGCATTGTGTAAGCTCTCCGAAGCAAAGGGAGACATCTCACCCGCCAGCTCTGGCATCCTTCATCTAAATTACTTGGAGGCCCAGGGGACGTAATAAGTAGGTTATAAGTCGAGTTATAAGTACCCTAAATGGAACTACCCAATTATAACCCTACTTATAACCGACTTACTAGGTCCCCTGGGCCCCGAAGTAGGAGGTTTTAGGGCCTAGGAGTTTGGGGCCTCGGGTTTAGGGCCTGGGGTTTTGGGTTGGTGCTTCGGGTTTACCCTAAACCCTAAACCCTAAACCCTAAACCCTAAACCCTAAACCCTAAACCCTAAACCCTAAACCCTAAACCCTAAGGTTTCGGCTCTAGGGCTTCGGGTTTTGGGCCCAGGGTTTATGGGGCTTCGGGTTTAAGGCTAGGGTTTTGGGGACTGGGGCTTAGGCTCTATAGGGGTTTTGGGGCTAAGGTTTTAGGGCCTACTGTCCTACTGCCAAAAAAAAATTACGGTTTTTGAGGGTGGGGGAATCTTGGGTGGGTGGGATGATTTCCAATACCAGAGTAGCGAGCGGGACTAGAAACTGCTCGATCTGTAGTTGCAGAACCCTAAGCCGCAGACCCCAAACCCCGAAACTCCTTAACTCCAATTCCAAGCCCCAAAACCTAAAACCCGTAAGCCCCAAACTCCTGAACCCCTAAATAAGATCCCAAAGCCTAAACCCTTGAATTCCTCCTGAACTCCAAAAACAACCCCAAAACCAGAAACCGTAAAGCACAAACCTCAAACCCTGATCCCCGAAACCCCGAAGCCCTAAACCTCT